CTGGAGTTTGCTTGTGCCAACTTCACCAGTCATTTCTAAAAAAGGAAAAGAAACTCCAAGCAAAACAGAGAAAAACACAAAGAAACCAACCCAAAGAAACTAATCAAACAAACAGATAAAACACCCCCAATCAAACCAAAGGCAATGAGAAGTTAGGACTAGTTGTAAGGATATCACAGCAGGCGAATGGCTGCTTCCTACTTGGATCACCATCCAAAGCCACCTAGAACAACTTCTCCAAAACATATCCAACAGGAGAAATGGAAAAAGTGATCCATGGCAGCTCTGCATTGTGGTGAAGGATGAGCATGCAGTGGTCCAGATGCAGCATTGCCCACCCTCCAGGCTGCTGTTTGCTCTGCTGAAAGACTCTTGCAGGACTGTGGCCCCTCTCCATGCAATGGAAATCATTGCCACAGCTCTCAGTTGAGGCACTGGCATTTCCAGAGCCAGATTCAGGCACAATCCTACTGCCTGCTGAGCATCTGGGAAAGGTGCTGAGCATCTTCAGGCCTAGAAGCACAAAAGAGCTCAGGCTCTCCCCGAACTGGGTTTTCAGGGCAGCTTTCCATATCTCTGCAAGATTTCTTCATCCCTCAACACGTCTGACTTTATGATGTCCAACGATGCATTTGGGTTTCTTCCGTCCTCTTGTGTGCCCGTGAGTAACCTTCCACGTGGATGAAGGAGATTGTGTACAGGACAATTGATTGCGGCATTGCCATTTGGCTTCACTGTCACTCAGTTGAACACGGTCCTTATCTAAGAAGGACTTCCAAGAAATGGGTAGGAGTTTTGGCTGTGAGAGGAGCAGAAAGCACATTTTCTACAGCAAATTGCTAGCTGATGCACTTTCCTCCCTGCCAAAATAGTGATTGCCATTCATCTTCCTGGGAAGAATGTAAAGACCCATTCAGAGATGCCAGGTTCAGCTGGCCTGTGGCTTTGTGTGCCTCATTTCACATGTCCAATTTCAAGGGCCACTAAAAGAGGCTCATGTTTGCCTTGCTACCCACAAGTGCTGTAGGTATTTCCAGGAGAAGAGGGAAAACATCGCTGTCCTGTGGTGTGGTAGAAATGCCACCACAACTGTGATTGTGTGAGCAAAGCCAGCCAGTGCTTTTTGGGGCAGCAGCAGCAGCTGAGAGTGTGGCAGAGCGGTTGTGATACTCTTTTTAGAGTCCTGCAAACATTGTTCCCGAAACAACCCACAGCTTTGCAAATGTGCCCGAAGAAAATGCAAAGAGAACTGGGGTGTGAAAATCAAAGACTGTTGATCTGTAGAAGAAAAGGAACAAGAATGAACTACACCACATATTTACACTGTAAGAATATTGGTAACAACAACAATAAACTGTAGAACCTATTTACCTGAGAACAGCTCTAACAAAACTCTATGAAACGTATTTACAGACAACTTAAACAAACTCTAAAACCTCTATCCTGAACACAACAACTGTAAAACGTATGTACAGCAGGGTGGCATCTGTGTCTGTGATGTCCCTAAGTCCTGGCGGTCAGTGCAGTCAGGCACGGAAGGGTGTTCCATGTGCTGCCGGGCTGGGACACTGGCCCAGTGGGACTCTGCTGCCAGAAGGGAGCCTGGCTGGGGGTTGTGGCCCAGGCACTGGAACAGGGCTTGTGTGGCCCACAGCAAGCCCAGGCCAGGCCAAGCTCTTTCAACCGGCCAACGTACCGTGTGTGTCTGAGGGAGAGTGCCGGTTAGGGCGCGGGCTATGGAAAGCGCGAGCGCGGCGGGCAGGCGAATAAGAAACATATTTAACAGGCATCTGGCGCGCGAGACTTTCAAACTGCAAGTGGATCGTAGCTGCCACTCGCACACTTGCTGAGTAGTCGCTAAGTTGTCGTGTGGAAGAAGTACGGCCACGACTTCCTTCTGCTACTTCCTACTGCTGTTGCTGCTCTCTACGAGAACCATTGCGCTTTTCCTTTTACTCCCAGACGCAGAGAAACGCCCTGCGCAGCACAGAAACCTGTCACACCATGAGTGGCATAGGGTGATGCAAATCCGTGTTGCGTCAGTGGCAGGCGTAAGCTGCACAAATATGTGCTGTCCTGTCACACGTTCTCCTCGCTAGAAACAGTGCAGAAGCTTTCCCCTTGCATTAAGAGCAAGAAAGGCAGAAGCCGGGACTCGCTTTCCGGAGTTCTTTGCAACTGGCCAAAGTACCATGTGTGTCTGAGAGAGAGTGCCGGTCAGCGCGCGGGCGGTGGAAAGCGCGAGCGCTGCGGGCAGGCGAATAAGGAAGGTGTTTAAAAAGCATCTGCTGTGCGAGACTTTCAGACTGCAAGTGAAAAGCAGCTGCCACTCGGACGTTTGCTGATTAGTAGCTAGTTGTCGTGTGGAAGAAGTAAGATCATTACTTCCTTCTGCTGCTCCCTACTGCTGTTGCTGCTCTCTGCGACAATAGTTGTACTTTCATTTTTACTCCCAGATGCAGAGAAATGTCCTGCGCAGCACAGAAACCAGTCACACCCTGGGTGGCATAGGGTGCTGCAAATTCGTGCTTGCATCAGTGGCAGGCGTAAGCTGCACAAACATGTGCTGTTTTGTCACACGTTCTCCTCGCTAGACACAGTGCAAAAGCTTTCCGCTTGCATTAAGAGCAAGAAAGGCAGAAGCCGGGACTCCGCAGTTCGGAGAAGGTGAGCGCAAGAGGCGAGCATCCTTCGGCAGAAGCCGCTTTTCAGGACTCTTGGTAACCGGCCAAAGTACCATGTGTGTCTGTGGGACGGTGCCGGTCAGAGCGCGGGCGGTGGAAAGCGCGAGTGGTGCAGGCAAGCGAATAAGAAACATGTTTAACATGCATCTGGCGCGCGAATCTTTCAGACTGCAAGTGGAAAGCAGCTGCCAGTCGCCCGCTTGCTAATTAGTCGCTAATTGTCTTGTGGAAGAGGTAAGATCACTACTTCCTTCTGCTGCTCCCTACTGCTGTTGCTGCTCTCTGCGACAAAAATTCGCTTTCCGTTTTACTTACAGATGCAGAGAAATGCCCTGCGCAGCACAGAAAGCTGTCACACCATGGGTGGCATAGGGTGTTGCAAATCCGTGCTAGTGTAAGTGGCAGGGATAAGCTGCACAAATATGTGCTGTCCTGTCACACCTTCTCCTCGCTAGAAACAGTGCAGAAGCTTTCCCCTTGCATTAAGAGCAAGAAACGCAGAGGCCGGCACTCGGCAGATCGCAGAAGGTAACCGCAAGAGGCGACCCTCCTTCAGCAGAAGCTGCTTTCCGGAGTTCTTGGCAACCGGCCAGAGTACCATGTGTGTCTGAGAGAGAGTGCCGGTCAGCGCGCGGGCTGTGGAAAGCGCGAGCGCTGCGGGCAGGCGAATAAGGAAGGTGTTTAAAAGGCATCTGGTGCGCGAGACTTTCAGACTGCAAGTGGAAAGCGTCTGCCACTCGCACGCTTGCTGATTAGTAGCTTGTTGTCGTGTGGAAGAAGTAAGATCACTACTTCCTTCTGCTGCTCCCTTCTTCTGTTGCTGCTCTCTGCGAGAATAGTTGCACTTTCCCTTTTACTCCCAGATGAAGAGAAATGTCCTGCGCAGCACAGAAAGCTGTCACACCATGGGTGGCATAAGGTGCTGCAAATTCGTGCTTACATCAGTGGTAGGGGTACACTGCACAAACATGTGCTGTCCTGTCACACGTTCTCCTCGCCAAACTCTGCAAATGCTTTCTGCTTGCATTAAGAGCAAAAAAGGGAGAAGCCGGGACTCCGCAGTTCGGAGAAAGTAACCGCAAGAGGCGAGTCTCCTTCGGCAGAAGCTGCTTTCCGGAGTTCTTGGCAACCGGCCAACGTACCATGTGTGTCTGAGGGTGAGTGCCGGTCAGCGCGCAGGCATTGGAAAGCGCGAGCTCTGCCGTCAGACGAATTAGGAAGGTGTTTAACAGGCATCCGGCACACGAAACTTTCAGACTGCAAGTGGAACGTAGTTGCCACTGGCACACTTACTGAGTCGTCGCTAAGTTGTCGTGTGGAAAAAGTACTGCCTCGACTTCCTTGTGCTGCTCCCTACTGCTGTTGCTGCTCTCTCCGAGAATAGTTGCACTTTCCCTTTTACTCCCAGATGCAGAGAAATGCCCTGCGCAGCACAGAAAGCTGTCACACCATGAGTGGCATAGGGTGCTGCAAATCCGTGTTGCGTCAGTGGCAGGGGTAAGCTGCACAAACATGTGCTGTCCTGTCACACGTTCTCTTCGCCAGAAGCTGTGCAAAAGCTTTCCGCTTGCATTAAG